TGTGCTACTGTCCAGTTTGGTTCCAGTGACTGTCTTATACAGTCTGGATGAAAACCGGTCCCTGTGAAGCTGATACAGCTGTGCTGGGTGGAACCACCACAAGTGAAAAGGCATAGAGTCTACCCTTTCTATGATCTCACCCTTCTCCTCCTGGAAATGTGTTGACTCAGGTCCTTTTACCACCTTTCAGTGATTTGTCAGGAAAGGTTTACAGTGGATCTCTTTCCAAATGAAATAGAAATGCATTTTTGAACCCAAATAAACTGCTTCATAACCTTGTTTATTTAACATCTGTGTAACACCAAAAATACACACATTTTTTAAAATAAAAAAGATAGCATCCCTGTTAATTTATATGCCATTTTAACCTCAAAACATATGATTTCATAGTACTCTAAGAGCATGGTAATTGTAATATGTTAATAAGAAAATAAATATATACATTTTTGCAGTCAGAGTATTATTTTCCTTAATGTATGCCCATGGTGAAATCTATTCTGTAAACTCTTTCTAAAGAAGACAGGAATCTGAGAATTACAACCCATGCCCCTTTCTAGCTCCTAATTGTTGTTACTTATGTTGTCATACTATGTTAGTCATTTGCCCTATAATCTGAAGCATAGCAATGACTAAGCAAAAATATACTGTGAATCATTACAAACCACTCAACTCCATAGCAGTTTGGTTGGTGTTAAGGATTTTGGAATGACAAACTGGGCAGTTATTCTCTGCCTTGTCAGCAAGATCTGAACATACCTGTAGGTGCAAAAACTACAGGGCCTACAGACACAGGCCTTCTGAATTCAACGCTGTTTCTACACTTGATCTTGACCTTAACCTAGAGAAAATGCATAAATGAAACAGCAAATTTTTGATTCTGAGCTTTTAATAAAGTCAAGATAGATTCAGTGGGTTGATGAGACTATGATAGCTCAACCTTTATCGTCATTGAGCCAACATTTATTGAAGCACCTCACATGGGCTAGATAGTGTGAGACACTGGTGTTGAATGTTACAAGCATTTTAATTTAAATAAAAAAAAAGTGTCATGGGGATCATAAAACTCATCTCATCCTTAATGTCCTCTAATAACAGAGTATCCAGATAGCTGTACTGCCGGTGCATGCTTGAATGCGTGGTCCTGAGCAAGGGCTCTTCGGTACTGAAGATGGAATTCTTTCTGGGCTCATTCTAACAATTTTCTTCCAGAAATAGATCTATCAAGAGTCTATCTTCAAAATTCTAGCTGCTAAGAGTTCATAATTAAAGAGAAGTTAAGAATTTAGGATTTTACATCAATTACTCACTGTTACAGCTTCTAGTTAATATCTAGTCCTTAGCTGATGATTTACTATGAAAATATATTTTTTTAAAAAAATAAGACTACTCAGGCTGCCTTGATTCATGTACTAGTTTTGCTACCACATGACTGTGAGGAAGTTACTTGCTCTCTCGTTCTCAGTTGCCTCATCTGTGTAATGGGGATGACAATAGAATCTACTTCATATAGTCATGTGAGAATTTAAAATTGAATTCAAAATTGAATAAGATTTTTATGGTTTAGACTTTTGTTATGCTACTAAATAGGATCGTAATTAGTGATCGTTTGGCTTTGGCACTGCCTCTGGGCCTGTGAAAGGAGGTCCAGTTCTTTCCATGTCTGAGATGATGCACGTCATACACAGGTGTACCGGTCTTTTTGAGATGGAATCTTAATGGTGAATTGTCTTTGTTTTCAGTTGTAACATGAAATTTGTATCTTGTCACATTTTCCAAAGCAAAATGGCCTTTAATACCATTGAAGAATGTCTTATTTAGTTCTTCTAGAAAATTGAATTAAGAAAATTAAAGGCAAGTGAAGTAATTAGCCGAATTAAACTTGGGGGAGGGGAGGGGAGCAGAGGGGAAGGAAAGAGAGAGGGAGAAGAAAGATGAGTCAGAAAATATGCTCCATGTCATGAAGTAAGTTTTAGGAGACCTGAGATGAATACAAGCCTGGACTCACTGTCTTAATTACTTCATATCTTCTTACTGCAGATACTCTAGAAATCTGAGCATTTCTATATGTAATTTCCTAAAAATAAGTAACAGTAAACTTTTTTGGTATATTTCTCATGTCTTTTACACACGCATTTTTTTTCCTCCCAGTAAGTTAAAGGCTTCTGAAGTACAAGAACTGTTCCTTTATGTCTTTTTTTCTTTTTTTTTAAACATGCCTTCTATGTATTGTGGCTGTTTCTATGACATCTAGATAACACATTCATTGTTAATTGATTGAATAGAATATAAGGATGAAGAGGAAAACATGTGTTCCTTTCTGATAGTGAGACATATATTTAGAGGCCACATGTAAATGGAATATAAAATAAGTCACATCTGACATAGGTAATGAGAAAATGTGATGATCTGTTAATGGAGATATGAGAAGGGGGAATAAGTGTCATGATACTTAAGAAAGAAGCCAAATTTTTGAGGCTTGCTTATACAAAAAGTAGTTATTTGAATATATATCCCCAAACATAACAAAAAAGGCAACATTAACCAGTATATGAAAACTCTGAAGAAAAATAGTCTTCATGCAAGTACCTGGCTGATCGAAAATTAAGCAGAAATATTTGCATAGCATGCTAGTTTTTCAGGAGAGAAAGATCATTTGCTTGTTCTAAAAATAAAATGAATTTAGCACAGTTAACCTAGGTTCAGAGGATCACTGCTGAATGAGGAAAATTAATGGGATTAAAAAAGGGAAATAAAGTTTTAAAACTAAAAGTCTATTAAGAACCTGTGCTTGCGAAGAGGATTTATTCAATGCATAAAATTTTGCTTTAAAATCACCAGGGCATTGATATGTATTTTATCATTCAATGACCAATATAATTCTTGAGACAATCTATACTTTTATCACTTAAATGTATATAGCACATATGATTGTTAAAACTGTCTGTTCTCCTAAACCTACACGTTGTGGCCTACATTAAGAAACATTTACTTTGATGAATCTTTCCTACACATGGAAAAAATTCAAATGCAGCCATTGAAAATACACAGCAATTTAAGTGAGGACACATGGAAAGAAGACTAACAATAATATAATGTTAAGCCGAGGGAACAAAATATTCAATCCTTTAAATGGACCGTGAAAAAAGAATTTATAAACTTGAAAACAGTACATATGACTTATAATTTCAAAATAACCAAGTAAAATATTTCTGTCCTTTCTCAAAATTCACATAAAAATAAGAATATGAAGAAACGGAAACACTGATTTACACGTTGACAAAACTAGAAAACTTCTATGACTGTCAATCACGGAACAATGAAAGAAAAATGTTGTAATGACTCAGAACAGAGGAAGGTGAAACCCAAATCCCTGTCAAAGGGGATAGCAGCGCAAAGCAAATGGATTTCACCCTGCAGAACTCCAGAAAAGCCATAGGATTGAAGGCACCAATTACTGCAGAAGGAAGGGGTGGGAGTGCATATATTGAAAGTTGCGCTAAGGAGGAGTTAGACCCTCAGCTCTCTCCCCATCCCTATCCTTACACAAATCCTGCAGGAGACATGAAGTATATGCAGAGAAACTGTATTGAGGAGGTTCTAGATTAAAGGTGCCAGGCAAAGAAGAGAGCTGGGGTGAAATAGGGGATTTGGGGAGATTAGGTGAAAGTGGCCATCCTAAATGATGAGAACAGCAGTTCCTAACCCTGCTGAGCTCCAGAAAAATGGAACTCTCCCTGAGAAAATGTCCTTGTATACTCCTAATTCAGAGTATAAAAACTCTTTCGCCACATGATTGCTTTACAATTTAATTATTATTTCTCAATGGAGGTATTATTTATAAAAACTAATGCTGTGCTATGCACTAGTAACAAACAAACTCTGAAATCTCATGCTTAACCCAACAGAGGTTAGTGTCTTGCTTGTATAAAGCTCAGTGTGGTGGGTGGACCTCCTTGCCTTCTAGTTAAACCATCTAGAGCTCAAGGCCTGTGAAGTCTGCATGTCAGTGGCTAGGATTGAGGAGTGAGTGCGCATGCTCTTAGCTGCCCAGAGATGGTGCATGTCACTTGTACTCATAGTCCATTGTTCAGACCCGCACACGTGGGAGTTACAGAGAAGAACATAAACTGGGTGATTGCTAACTTCTTTGCAACTCTATGCAAAACTCTTTCCAGGTCCCTGCAGGATACTTCACTCTCTTCGTATACATCAACCATGGAGTCTTGTTTATTTAACTGAATAATTAAAATGCATTTTAAATGTATAAAGTAATAGCTGTTGCCTGCCCAATAAGGGCTGGCAGTCTGACAGACACCAGGAATGCAGAGAGATACATGATCTCAAGGTTACCCCACCATTTTACCTCTTGTTTCACATTGCCTTTGAAATAATCTTCAGGTCATTCCCTCTCAGTGTTTGTATTGGCAGTGCCCAGCTAATCAAAGACCAGCTAATCGAAGCTATTAAGTTATTTATTTATACTCAACAGTAGCTCGTATCCATGTTGCAAATATTTAATTTCAGATATTTTCCCCAAGACTTTTGAGAACTGCTCTTTTCCTTTTTAAGTAAAATAGTTGTGGAGAACCCTTTTCTTCAAAGACCTTTAATAGTCCTTATAGATAGCTAACTGCAAATGAATCTATTTCTCAGGACTGCCTTGTGGTTTATTTCTAATGTTCACTGAAGCAGCTTTGTAAGTTAATAAGAAATGCGCTATAAAAAGTTTCATAGCATATCAGGTGAAAGCAATTATCCAGGAAGCTTCTTTTATATCTGACTCAGTCTTGCAAATGCATCTCATACAGATTTTGAAGGAAATAACCCTTCTAATTTAAAAACATACATTTATCTTAGAGATACTTTTACATCTATTCTTATTTACTCAAAATCTACACTTTAAGCTGCTAATAGGGGTAAACCTGATTCTTAGTATTTGGATTTGAAGAGTATTAATAAATTTTGTATAATGTTTGGTTTCCTTATGTTTTCTTTTCCAGAGTACCCGAGTGGCCTTGGACCATCTGGAGTCTGTGCCTGAGAAACTGAGCCTACTAGAAGATTTCAAAGACTTCAGAGTGAGAAAGAGTTTGCTTGTCTCTTTCAGTATTTTTATCTGAGTAAAAGCACTTGACATCTGCCTGATGTGCAAAGAAAATTGTGGGGAGAGGGAAAGGACCAGAAAACACTGGGGACATTTAACACTCCATCTGATCGGAGTTTCCTGACATTTGTGAGATCAGGATTAAAATTAATTGATTTAATGTATTAGGACAATATAGAGATTTTGTATTATTGCTAGAAACTCATTTGGCCACCGAAAGCTTTAACTATAATTTAGAAAGACCTAAGAATTAAAGAGAGTTACATGTGATGTTGACAATAGGTAACCTTTTTGATTAACAATTTGAATTTATGAACTATCTTCTTTTTTAAATTACAAATTGCCAAGATACTATTTGTTTTAGAAATATGATAGTTCACAGGTTATCCCTATAGTACAGTATATGAATTCAGATCCACGTAGGGTGTGAATTACCACATTGTGCTCCATGCCATTTATTGATAGAGCTCTAACCCAGAGTGTTTCATTATCAAGTCAGTTAACTACATGTGTAGATTTACCCTTGTAATTTTTTAAAGTTTCTTATAGAGGAGAGATGCAAAACAAATAACCCAGCTGTCCAGTCATGCGAGACAAGGCTTTCATCCAAAGAACATCTTCACATATCCCCTTAGGGCTGCATTTGTAATGTACGTTTTTTGTGATTTATAATTTATTGACCCTGTATGGCTGAACCTAACAATGGTGAGGTTTTCTTTTTGAAAACCTTTGATGAGATTTTCTTTTTGGAAACGATTTAATCTCTTATTTCACATTGGCTTTGAGATAAAATTTATGTTATATTTAAGAGCTGTTTAAATCTAGCCTTTGTTTAAGGATACAGTAGATAAGAACTCTAACTAGATGGTATCACACTGATTTATTGAAACTACTGGTATGATATGGCCCTGAAGGTCTGTGCTGTCTTAACATTACCTTTCATTAAGCATCTTTTGGTAGGTAGTTAAGTAACTGAATATTTTTGAAAAGTTAGATTCAAGGACAAATAGATGCATGTGGAAATCTAGACTGGCACAAATAGAACAAAACCAAGTGCTCCTAGTATAGTCTGTTGTTGTTTTGTTGTTATGTGCTGTCCCTAGTATAGTAAACTTTTCATTCTGTCTCATGATTTTATTACATATCTGCAGTCTAAATATCTGCAGTCTAAATCCTTACTAAGAGGTTATGAAACTAGGGTCTAAGTAGATGTGACTTCTACTAATCCTTATTCTGCCCAGACCCATCTCTAGGTGGGTATTACTTTCTCCCAGTTTACAGGTGAGGAAAGTGAGGCTTGGTGTCTGTAACTTAGTTGGGGCTAGAATCTAAGCATGGGTATGACCACACTGATTGTCACGCCCATGCTATGGGTAGCAGACAGTCGTTATCTCCATATTCTCACCACTTTTTTCTCTATAGCTAACAGAAGTCATCTCAGTGAATGATGGCAAGAGATGGTACTGGAAACAGGTGGCACTTGTCACTGACAAACAAATGCCTGTCTCATACCAGCACAAAAATATATAAAGTTGAGCCTCCAGTGACAGTGCACTTCTTGCTACTCTTCTACTGGAACAGAATATTCATATATACAATTTCATGTTCCATTCTCTACTACTACAAAATGTTCTTATTTCTCTCATCACAGGGACAAAGAATTATCTACAAGTCTAATTTATATAGACACACCATGCACAGAGATGCCTTATATAGTGCAATTTCCAGGGAGAATATTTTTCAAGGTTCGGAATTATACTTTTCAATATTAGTCATTCAAATAGAAAGCTTTATTTAGCTTAAAAGGGAAAGGAATTAATTAGCAAGTATCACATACATACTGTGTGGCTGGCTGTAGATAACTATATATTTTTCTTGGTCTTCAGAGTCAGACCCATCTCTAGGTGGGTATTACTTTCCCCCAGTTTACAGGTGAGGAAAGTGAGGCTTGGTGTCTGTAACTTAGTTGGGGCTAGAATCTAATCATGGGCATGACAACACATCTTGGGTGTTCATCTCTGTTGCCTCTAGCTTGAAACCCCTCTCCCTGTATTCTAAAGTCGTTTTATGATTGAAAAGAGCTCACTTAAATCAATTTAGTGAAAAGAACCAGACATAGCCTTAAATAAAATACATGAAGTCTTTATTTTAGTAGATGCAGGCTGTCTTTTTAAAACCCTTAAAATTCAGTGCTGTAATCAATGTCCTAAGTTCTGATCCAAGCTCAGGTTCCACTCAGCTCTCAAAATCTCAGAGACTATTTCCCTATCCATCCATAAAATGAGGGACTTGAACAGTACTGTCTTGGTAGTTCTTTCCCACTGGCATCAATAGCATATGTATTTCTAATATATTTCACATACATTTTTCCTGATAGTAGTATAGCCTATGAATCTATATATGAATAAGTACAAACCTCATCCTATGTAGAGAGACTTGATTTTATACTTGTTTAAATGTGGTCATATTCTGGTTTTTATTTTTATTTTCTCTACCTCATTTTAGAAGGAGTGGTTCAGCTCTAAAGTCCCACATCTAAACTTACATATTTGGTAAGGTAGAAAGGAAATAATATTGAGTTCCAAGCCCAACGTGCCACAAATTTCCTGGCCTTGAGCAAATCATTTTTAACATCCAGGAGCTGCAGGTTTCTTATAAAAATGAGCGCTTTGGAATTCTAAGACCTCTTCCAGCTTGAACATTCAGTACATTTAAGGATCTTTGGGATTACTTGGGGAACTAAATCCCATGAGTGAGTGATTCTTCTTACATACTCAAGTCAGTCACCCTGATTGTATCCTAACTTTTCCCTAATATGTAATAGGGATGTCACAATTATTGGGTATAGTGACTGATTGCTGTGTTCCATCCTCACAAAAAAAGGGAAGAAGAAATAAAGACAGCCTCTTGAAACATTTGCTTTGTTACAGCTATTACATCAGATTGATTATCTGAATCAAATCACTTTATGCTTGTGAGGGAAGAAGAGATTTCCTTAAGCTTAAAAATTTATGTGATGTAGTAGTTAAAAGGTAGAATATTATTTGATGATTAGTAAAGAAAAAGGTCTCCAGTTTTAAAAATACCAATGAGAATATTTTGTATTCTCCAAGGGACCATACAGCATCCAAAAGTGTCATAATACCTTTGGATAACTCATTGTTATGGGAACCTTATTATTCCCTTTAACTAAAGGTGTCAGTCATTTCAGCCTGGCTTAGAACTAGTCTTGAAAAGAATGCAAATATGCGGGGTGTCATTTTTATTTCTGTGCTAGCATCCAAAAAGACCATTTTCGTTTCCCTTGAGGTACTGTGATTCCCCTATATATCTTTCAAAATGTCTATGATTATTTATTATCTACATATCAGTACTTCTTGTTTTTAAACTCTAACTTCAAGCACTGATTTTTCTTTCATCCACCAGTTCAGACCTTTTGTTGTTTTTACAGGATTCCTGTGGTTTATCTGAGAGAACTGATGGGAGATATTCGAAATACAAAGTACAGAGAGATTCTCTTCAGCTGTGCCGAGATGATGCCAAGTACAGAATCAAGAACTTCAAAGTAATGTCCTTTATATGCATTTTTAGTCTTTGAACGTTATCCACGTTTATGGCTAGAACCTCCTCCTAAGCAGCCCCTTCCTCATTCATGTAAGGGCACTTATAAAAGAGTTTTCTTAATGTATAAAATATAGTTTCAATTTTCTTGAAGTAGAGAAGGAGAATCTTAAAACTGTGCTTATGACTTTTTTCTTGTAACTTACTTTAAGTTTATGCATTGTGGCTTAATATAGTGTTTTTCTGTGGACATTAATGTTGCTTAAGAAATCCCAAACAAGGAAACCCCAGGTCCCTTGGCTGGTCAGAATTGTCACGTGAATATTTGCCTTTCTCTGTGCACAAATCCAGGTACTCTACACCCTGAAGTCCCCAACAGATCAAGCCACATATTTAAAAAAAAAAAAAAAAAATCTGTTGCCATTGAGTTGATTCTGACTCATGGAGACCCCTCATGAGTCAGGGTGGAACTATGTCCCATAGGGTTTTCAATGGCTGCTTTTTGAAAGTAGACCCTTTGACTTTTCTTCCAGTGACCTCTGGGTGAACTCGAACCTTCAACTTTTCTCTTAAATGATGAGCACATAAACCATTGGCACCACCAGGGAATCTAAAACCATCTATGTTGTCTTTAGTAAACTATAGACACGACATCTTAAGTAATTCTTTTTCTAAGGGTGTGAACTCCATAGTAATACTTCAGTTATGGTCCTTTATAACAGAACCCACGCAAGAAACTGGGAAGATTTAACCACGTTGACAAAAAGCCTACCATCTTCTAGATGGTATCCACTTGTGGCATGGTTGATTTTAACCATTTGACCCTGACTGGTTCTTAGCCTAGAGAAGAGTTTCTCAGTTACAGTATTGTTAAAATTTTGAGCCAGATATTCTTTGTTGTGGGGGCTGTCCTGTGCATAGTAAGGTTTTCAACAATATCTGTACTATCTATGGGAGCGCTGGTGGTATAGTGCCTAAGGCATTTGACTGCTAACCAGAAGGCTAGTGGTTCAAACCCACCAGCCACTCCTCAGAAGGAAGGTTGGGAAATCTACTTCCATAGTGATACTGCCTTGGGAACCCAAGGAGGGGCGCCATGAGTCAGATCCAACACAACAGCAGTGAATTTGGTTTGGTTTGGTTGGCACTATCTACACACTAGATGCCAGAAGCACCTCCATCACCAAATTGTGACATCCAAAAATGTCATTAAACATTTTTCCAAATGTCCCCTGAAAGACAAAATTACCCCTGGTTGAGAACACTGGCGTCAAGAGAATCCATCTGTATTTGAATCCATCTTTATTTGTATTCTTTCACCATACGTATTCAATCTGTATACTGAGCAAATAATCCAAGAAGCTTGACTATATGAAGAAAATGTGGCATCAGGATTAGAGGAAGACTCACTAATAACCTGTGTTATGCAGATGAAAGAACCTTGCCTGCTGAAAGTGAAGAAGACTTGCAGCACTAACTGATGAAAATCAAAAACTAAGTCTTTAGTATGGATTACACTTCAACATAAAGAAATAGCCTCCCAACTGGACCAATAAGCAACATCATGATAAATGGAGAAAAGACTGAAGTTTCAAGGATTTCATTTTACTTGTATCCACACTCAATAACCATGGAAACAGCAGTCAAGAAATCAAATGACTGTATTGCATTGGGCAACTCAGCTGCAAAAGACCTCTTTAAAGTGTTAAAGAGCAAAGATGTCATTTTGAAGACTTAGGTATGCCTGACCCAAGCCATGGTATTCTCAATAACCTTTTATATTCATGTGAAAGCTGGACAGTGACTATCAGGAAGACTGAAGAAGAATTGGTACACTTAAATTGTATTAGCAAAGAATATTGAAAATACCATGGTCTGCCAGAAGAACAAACAAATCTGTCTTGGAAGAAGTACAGCTGGAATGCTCCTTAGACATGAGGATGGCCAGACTTCATCTCGCGTACTTTGGTCATGTTATCAGGAAGAATGAGTCCCTGGGGAAGGATATCATGCTAGGTATAGCAGAGGGCCAGTGAAAAAGGGGAAGACCCTTAGCGAGATGGATTGACACAGTGGCTGTGACTGTGGGCTCAAGCATAGCAAGGATTGTGAGGACAGCGCAGGACTGGACAGTGTTTCTTTTTGTTGTATGTAGGGGTCACTGTGAGTCAGAACTGGCTTGATGGCACCTAACAACAACAACAACAGATTTGAATATACACTGCAAGTCAATAAGCTGCTGTCTCTTCTGTTTCTTTTTATATTCTTGCAAACTTCAATATGAATGAATAGATATTCATTACACTGTATTTATTCACATATTATATCCAAATATAATTATTTTAAAGAAACGTTTTTCCTCCTCTGAATGTCATTGGATAGAATGCTCAGTGGATGTAAAGTCAGTGTTCATTTCCAAAATTGTTTCTTAGCATGCTTAAAGTGATCACTTCACTTCCCCATCCCAAACAAATGCTTAATACAACTAGGCCAAGTTTGGATGGAAGGTTGGGCAATCTACTTCTGTAGTGATACCGCCTCGGAAATTCAAGGAGGGGTCACTATGAGTCAGGGCCGACTTGATGGCAAATTAACAACAACAACAACAGGCCAAGTTATTGATACCCCTACTGTGAAGGGAGCATCCTGTGACTTTATTTACCTTTTTCCTTTGTTTTTACAGATTGGTATTATTAATTGCAATAGTGACTTTGTTCTCTCACATGGTAATATGTACCTTCCCTAATAAGGTTCTAAAAACCGTGCACAGACATCACCCATTTGTCAGTGAGAGCTTGTGTGTTGCTATATGGTGAACAGGTTCCAGGGAGACGTCCAGGCTAAGGTAGACGGGAAGAAATTCTTGGAGATTTACTTCTAAAAAATTAGCCAGTGCAGATCCTTTAGATCACAACTGTCCAGTTGGCCAGACATCATGGAATGGCACAGGACAGGGCAGTGTTTTATTCCCTTGTACCTGAGGCCACGGTGAAATGACTTGATGACAGCTAACAACAACGTTAACTACAAAAGTATTCTAACATTCCCATCGAGCCCCATATATTCAAGCCTTATTTCTCTACCATTTAAAGGAGTGCCACTAAACTTAAACAGAAATTCAATGTGTGGGCAGTGATAATAATTACTACCAAGTATTGAGCATGTATTAGAATGAACTACATGAAATTGGTACCATTACTTTTCTTCTCTTACTATGAAGAAATCAAAGTTACAGGACAATTAAATGGTTGCACTCAGGGTTAAAATCCAAATATTTCTTCATCGAGTAATTTATGTCCTTAACAGTGCTATTGCACTGTAAATTTGTTGTTGTTAAGTGCCATCAAGTCGGACCCGACTCATAGCGACCCCTCCTTGGGTTTACGAGGCAGTATCACTATGGAAGTAGATTGCCTAACCTTCCTTCTGAGGAGTGGCTGGTGGGTTTGAACCGCCAGCCTTCTGGTTAGCAGTCAAGTGCCTTAGGCACTATACTACCAGTGTAAATTAGGACCTCATATATCTTAATTTTTCTAGAAATCAACACATGTAGGACTGTATTTTTAATATGTAAAAGTTAATTATCTCTACAAATAAATAAAGGCAGCACTTGCCTCTTACTTCAACAAAAGTCTAGATGCATATGAAATATTTAAAAACAGGGCTTTGAACCGGTTCAAAAATGGTTTATTCATGGCCTGTGGAAACAAGGGCAGTGTACTTGTTCCATAGCAACCACATTTCTTGTGTGTGGGATTTTGATCTCAGTGGGAAACAGGCAGTGGTGCCCCATTCAAAGATGGCAGCTGACCATGACCCTTTGAATCTGTCACTCAGCTGCCATCTTTGCCTATTTCCTACTTCAGTCAAAGTCCCACACAAGAGATTTTGTTGCTATGCAACGCTTACACTGTGCTGGTTTCCAGAGGCCATGATTGGAGTTTGGAACTGGTTCAAAGCCCTGTTTAAAATATTATTTTCCAATAAAATTAGGTTTTGCATAATGTGAGTCAGGGCTCTCTAGTGACACTAAATTGCTCTAAATCAATGCAATTTCCATAAAAGCATATGGAAAAGCTGTGAATGTTTAACATGTTCAGCAAGTAATCTCAACAGAGTATTCTTTAAAATTATGTTTGTAGCTGAAGAGGAACTCGGACCTGGTTCAAAGGAGATGCATATTCTTGGCAAAATGAAAACTAAGTTTGAAATTTTGGAAAATAGGTAGAGTGCAGGTATATGAAGGGGCCACAAGTTATAAAAGAGACTATATGGCTTGCAAAGCCTAAAATATTTACCATCTGGCCATTTAGAGAAAAAAATGTGCCAATCTCTGGTAGAGGAAAAAAAAAAAAACCAATCTACTCTTTCTTCCTTCACATATTATGTAAAAGATTTCCTCTCCTTTACTGACCAAATAAATAAATACTGCTCAGGCTCCTTGGAAAAGCAAAACTTAGTCATTCATTCAACGAATATTTATCATGTGGCAGTTTTGTGCCAGAAATGTTCAAGGTACATGAGATTCACATCAGTAAACAGACAAAAATCCTTGCCTCTTTTAATCTTCCGTTCTAGTAGATGGATATTCATGTTTGTTGTTGTTTTTAACACATGTTCAGCAAGAACGGATCGAGTTTCTATGGTATACAAGGGCTCTAGAGAATGACATAAGAAAAACAGTTACCCACTCTTAGGAATTCAAAGCCTTCCCCAAAACAACTGTAGTGCAAAGAAGAAAGGAACAATTGCTATCAAAGAGCCCTCAAGAAAGTGTTCTGAGAATTCAAAAGAAAGAAAGGTGCTCATGAATCTTTTCAAAAGATGTCTGGATGGCAAATTATGAGGAAGTGTTTTATCTGCAGCTCCATTTGAAAGTAGATCTCAGTGAGCAAAATAGTTGTAGAACCCTGACTTTATTTCTGTTGACGGAGAAATAACTGTTGGACTAGCAGAGCCATGTTGGCAACTGGCTTCTCACATATTGTTGCTGTTTTAAGAAGG